GGGGGCGGGGGGGGGGGAGGACAGTAGGTCCCCCCCCTTATTGTTTTACTGGGGCCCCACCCACCGCTCGGGGGGGGGAGGACAGTAGGTCCCCCCCCCTTTTGTTTTACTGGGGCCCCCACCCACCGCGCAGGGGTGGGGGCCGGGAGGGAGGACAGTAGGTCCCCCCCCCTTGTTGTTTTATTAGGGCCCCCACCCACCGCTCAGGGGTGGGGGCCGGGGGGGAGGACAGTAGGTCCCCCCCCCTTATTGTTTTACTGGGGCCCCCACCCACCGCGTGGGGGTGGGGGGAGGACAGTAGGTCCCCCCCCTTATTGTTTTATTAGGGCCCCCACCCACCGCTCAGGGGTGGGGGCCAGGGGGGAGGACAGTAGGTCCCCCCCTTGTGTTTATAAGGGCCCCCACCCACCGCTCCAGGACAGTGGGTCCCCCTCATTATCTTCATGGCCCCCACCCGCCGCTCATGGTGGGGGAGGGGGGGAGGACAATAGGTCCGCCCCCCTTATTGTAATTTGTCATTTTTTTCAACAGTGAGCAGCCACAGGCTGCTCACTGTTTAGTAGACATGCCCCTACTCGCGGTATAGCGAGTAGGGGCATTTGGGAGATTTTAATCTCCCTTGTGCTATTATGGGGGTCATATTGAACCCCATAGAGTGAGAGGGGGTACTGGGGGGGCTTATGAAGTGGTGGGGAGCACTGCTCCCTGCCGCTTCTATCTTTACATATTACAAGGAGGGAGCTGCACGCCGGTAGCTCCCTCCCTGTAATAAGCTGCACGAACAAACATACACTGATACATTGTGTTTGTTTGTTCGGCTGATATTTCTATTCACTCATTCGTCTGTCTGATGAATGAGTGAATAGATGAAATTCCCGTTCGCATGTCCAAGTGTTTCACTGGGCATGTGCGGGAATCTCAGTGTCTGCCTAGTGTGGGCTGATGACGTGTCCCACAGGGACTTCACCTACCCACGCAAAGATGGCGGCGCCCTGAATCAAGATCGGGGCAGAAAATAAGGATTAAAAAATAGGTAATGTGGGGGCATAGGGGCATTTGGGGGTGACTAGTGGGTCAATTGGATGTAGTGGAGGCGGGAGGGGGGTTAAAAAAAAAAACGAGATTCGGCATGACAGTACCGCTTTAACATGCTATCTAGTTGTGCCAGAACAGGCGAGGTACACATTAACAGGTATATGAACCATGAAGACTGTGCTCGTTTCTCTGTTCCTTATTGAAGTTGTGTAGCATACTGACTGAAGTTGTATCGGTCATGTAACAATCTAGCTAGGTGTGTAGTACCAGGCTAGATACACATTAACATGTATGGCATCCAACTTGAAGACTGCGCTCGACAATTGAAATTGTATAGTGTTGGAATTGTATAGTGTGCTAGTTGGGTACATGCTAACATGCTGACAGCTGGTTTAACCCCTGGAGCGCCTCTTTGTTAGTGTAAGCAGTGTAGGCATAGTCAGGCAACTAAGGGCTCTCTAACACGAAATTAAGTACACATAGGTTCAACAATGTTGTCTGACTGGGTACAGACAGGCTTATATACAGCCGCATGTCCTGGGGGGGTGAGGCATGAGTACCTTGCTCAGTAACATTTGGTACTGTCAGCCAACATCTCGGCTTGGTATAGCCTTAAAGTCTCTGGGAGTCACAGTTTTTTCAAATCAGCCGATGCCCCGTCTGGATTCTGTGGTTGCTTGATTGGAGTGGATGTCGGTGAGCCTCACTGTCTGCGCTTTGGGATGCTTTGTATCCAAATGTGCTTCTCCTCGCATTCCGGTGGGGTGCCCCTCCTGCCCTGAGACCGGGTAAGAGCCGGTACCACCATTTCACGGACCTGACGCCATTTTGGGACCAAGTCCTTCCCCTGTGTGGGGCTGCGTAGGGCTGTTCTCCGATGCTTCCGTAGGTGTCTCGTTCTCCTCCGCAGGCGTGTGTGGCATGTAGGGGTCAAACCTCTCGTCCCAGGTGGGCTGATGTGCTAATGTGTCATGGTTTCGGCGGTTGCTTTGCCTGGTGGGGTCCCCTCCGGCTGTGCTTTAGTTTTACTCCGATTAGGGTATAGAGCTCTGGCTGGCTGTCGTGCTATGGGTGCTGTGTTCCCATTGCCGGCCCATGGTGTTGATGGCGGCTGGCTCTTTTTCTTCAGACGTTCCCAAAATTTCTGACATATGGCATCGAATCTCGTCTGGAAGGCTGCGGCCCAATCGTTGGGGGTCTGACGATTTGTGCGGGTAACGGTGTCGTCGGCCATTTTGGTAAGGCCTTGTGTCTCCCTCCTGTTAGCCGCGCAGCTTGAAGCTGTTGGCAGGTAAGTGCTCACTCTCTGGGAGTAGACCGGGATGACCCCCGCCGGTCCAGAGAGGGGTGGACGAGAACCCTTGTACAGAGGCTTAGTCAGTCGTGGCGGCAGAAGAGCATCCGTCTCCCCTGCACCCGCCATGTTCGTAGGCCTCAAACTCCTATCAGACAAGTGGAACTCGCAACAGCTCTTGAGTGGTGTTAGATTGTGCAGCTGCTTGTCACCTCTTGTTTGGTGACCGTCTCGTGTCGATAATTTGCCTTTTTGGCTTTGAAAATCTGCTTTAATCTCTGCTTGCTTCCTCTCATCTCTGCGGTCAGGCCCCGCCCCCCGCCTATGGGGTCTATTATGCCTTATACTTGTATGCCTCTTTTTATGTACATCCCCTCCCCAGCTCAGGGTTATTGGGCACTTTACGAAAAATCACTGTAGAGTTTCCTCTATTCATTAAATAGAGATCTGTCATATTTGGGCTATTTTAATACTAATTTATTTGAGAACTGTGATTACTGTAATCTCTCCAGTGATTACAGTTTCCATGGGGGTGAATCCCAAATAATTCTGACTAACATATTCACAATATTAATAACGTTCGATTTACCTTCGGTTCTCCTCATAATCTTTTTTTACTATTTTCTCTAAATACTCAAAAATTGGGTTGTATTGTTGATCGCATTGTTTTCTTTTGTATTTGTATTTCTCTACTAAGCATTGAATTGTATGTGTCTTTTCATACACCCAATAAAAACGTGATCGACAAAAACAAATGCCCTTTAATAAATAGGCCAGTATCGTCCTGCAGTATAATCCAGAATCTGGCTTGGGACCTACTGACTTTTGGCACATGTTGTTCTAACAGACCAGAGTGTTCCAATTTGTTTACAGATGCGCAATAAAATCTATTGACTTGTCTTTAATAGCATCCGCAGGGCCTGGAATATTCAACACACAGATTACACATGGTAGTTCTGGTAATAGCGCCAAAAAAGAATCAAAGAGATTGTTCACAAGAACACATAGACTTTACAATATAGCAACATTTGTAGACAGGAATGTCTGCTTCTCTGGGTCATACAGTCAGACAGAAGCCTATATTGAAATGGAGCAAATGTAATATTCCATTCAAGATATTCAATACATTTCAACTGCCTCCATACCTGCGCGATAGGAGGAAACTGTATTGCAATACTTGAGCTATACATTAATAGAGGAGATGTGACAGAGGGAAGAAAAAAAAAGTATATTTCATCTAAATCCAAGTTATGCGTTTTAACCCCTTAAGGACACATGAAATGTGTGACATGTCATGATTCCCTTTTATTCCAGAAGTTTGGTCCTTAAGGATGGCATCTTTATTATTATTATTATATTACTATTTTAGAAAAAGTGTATTTCTAACACCATAGTGCCTCTGCCATCCACCCCTCCTCCCCCCGCCCACCACCAACCTTACACCTTCTTGGCAAATTAAGAGTTAAAAAAAACACCTACAAAACCCTTTTTACACTTACCAGATTCCCTTCGGTGCTGGGTCAGCCTATTGGAGGTTCTAATGCACATGCATGTCTCAATGCTTTCATATGGACGTTCAGCATCGTTTCACAGAGTCAAACTCTGTGAAACTGCAGGAAGCACCCCTAGCACTTCCATTAATAATGATGGAAGCAGCATGTTTGCTAGGAACGAGATATATTGAGGTTACTGTATCCCAACAGTTCTCTGACAGAATACTGTGATTACATCATGCAGGCAGCCAATAGGAAGACTCGTTACAACAAGTGACAATGAAAGTTATCAAGCTGTGTTCCATATTTGTGTGTATATATACTTGTCTATAAAGGGACGCTACTGTGGAAGGCCTCTTGGGAAGCTATACTTCTAGGGCCGGCGCCACCGTTAGGCGAACAAGCAT